CTCCTCTCCTCTCCTCTCCTCTCCTCTCCTCTCCTCTCCTCTCCTCTTCTCTCCTCTCCTCTCCCTCCCTCTCCCTCTCTCTCCTCTCTTCTCCCTCTCCTCTCCTCTCCTCTCCTCTTCTCTCCTCTCCCTCCCTCTCCCTCTCTTTCCTCTCCTCCCCTCTCCTCTCCTCTCCTCTCCCTCCCTCTCCCTCTCTCTCCTCCCTTTTCTCCGTCTTCTCCCATTGTGAACATAAACATCTGGGCCCTGTCCATTTGATTTGAGGTGATTTTTTTTCAGATCCAGACTCATCATTCTCTCCACTTTCACCATCGCTAGCTCTACAGTGGCCCCATGCAGATTCTGTCTTGTTTCTAGTCATGACTTTCTGAGGCAGACATACTGGAGCTGCCATTTTTTTAGAGAGTATGTGGAGAAGAGAGTGAGTGCAAGCTCAGTGTTCACCATCAAGCATCGCTTGGGAACCGCTGACCTTATTCTGCCTCAGGGACACGTTAGAGCTAGAGTTAGGGCTGAAGGCAGGGTTAGCATCAGAGTTAGTTAAAGTTCGCGTTAGAATAAGGGCGCTCTTTTCCTCTCTGTTCAGCAGCCACAAAACATGCCAGTCTTTCTCTCCTCCTGTCCCCTCTCCTTCCAGGATGCCCCAGTGCGGGAGGGCTGAGCACAGGCTGAAAAGACATCATCTCTGTGGAATCCTCCAAGGACTGTCTCTTTAGAGATTTAACCCAAAAACGTTCTCTATACGCTTTCCCTCACTGCCAGTATGTGCCCCACCCTGTAGGCAAAGATCTCTGATGTTTCAGGACCAAAGTATTTATTTCTAAAGAATTCTGGCTGGGTGTTGGTGGCATACACCTTTAATCCCAGCACTTACGAGGCAGAGGCAAGTGGATCTCTGTGAGTTTAAGGCCAGCCTGGTCTACAGGACAGCCAGGGCAACAGAGAGAAACTCTGTCTCAAATTAAAAAACACTAATAAACTCAAATTGAAAATCAAGGACAATTTTCTTGGGGTGTAAAGGAAAAAATGCATATATAAGAGCCCTGTCTCTAAAATTTCTTTTTATTTGTGGTTGGCCTGTCATTCTTCTGTAGTCTTGTGGAAGATGAACCAGTTCTATTTTTAATATTGTGTTCAGTGGGTTTCAGGAAGGGAAATAAATTATAAATCTCTCCACTCTCGCGTTTTACCATAATTCCCTTGGTCTGACTCTCATTTCCTTCAGAAGTACTCTGTCTTGGAAGATCATTAAATAGCTGAGCATCGTAAGTGCTAAATGGCTTCGGAGGTTTTGTTCCTCGGTCTTGTGTCAGCACCATGACTGCCCTAGGCCCCCACCCCACTCCCAACACTGCAGCTCACCCTTTCCACAGTTTACATACGTGTGTGTCTAAATGCAAGAACTGAAGAGGCCGGAGGAAGGTGTTGAATCCCCTGGAGCTGGAGCTACAGGTGGTTGTGGGCTGCCTAATATGAATGCTGAGAACCAAACGCTGGTCCTTGGCAAGAGCAGCAAGTGCTTCTAACCACAGAGCCATCTCCATCTCTCCACCCCCTCTTTTTTTTATGTGAATAAATCACATGGCGATTAGTGCTGTGTGGCTCTGATATTTCTCATGTTCTTTATTGTGGTTTGGATATTCAACACTTTTATAACGAAGGCTTGGTCCCCATCTGGTGGTGATAGCATCACCAATTGGTTAATTATAGCAGATTATGTAATAGGAAGTGGAGCTTAGATCACTGATCGTGTGCTCTCCAGGTCCCCCATCTTGTGATCTCTGGTCACTCCAATTGTGCTCTCTGGTCCCACTCTTGTGCCCTCTGGTCCTCCCTTTTGCACCTTCTGATCCTCCCTCTTACACTCTCTAGTGCTCCCTCTTGTGCTCTCTGGTGCGCCCTCTTGCGCCCTCTGATCCTCCCTCTTGTGCCCTCTGGCCCTCCCTCTTGTGCCTTCTACTCCTCCCTCTTGTGCCCTCTGGTCCTCCCTCT